GGGGGGGGGGGGGGGGGTGCACGGGGGGGTGCACCCATAGGGGGAGCACATATTCTTCGCGCACCACTCCGTATGTCATTCTTGCGGGCATGATTCCATCGCCCCCCGCATCACCCCGTCGGAGTGTGGACGATGATCGGATGATCGTGCCCGCACATGAGTCCCCCACCCCCGCAGGTGTACCTACAAACGGTCGCCACACATACTGCACCTCATTGGGGTAGACCTTCTGCAGGAAGAGCAGAGCGCGCCAGGCTTCGTCCATCCTGCGAGGCTGTTTTCCCAGTGAAAGGGGCGCAGAGAAAGGGACGACAACAGCGAAAGGGTGAGACGTTCTTGCCGGTCCTCAGAAACGTGCAGATAAACGGGTGGCGTTTGTTACGGGATTTGGCGTTTTTCGAGTACCCGAGGAGGCGGCTGAACAATCAAACGTCAGTGAAGACTCACGCGAACGACGAGCTGACAGCACGAGGTGGAAATCCTATCAAGCATTCATTGTCAGCAGCAACAGCATACAAACGAGTACACAGCGACAGCAACAGCGAACACAACAAAAACAACATCAACGACGACTACGACGACAAATAACAGCAGCACCAACAGCACTACGGCAGCAGCACCAACAGCAACAGCACACCAAGCATCGACTAGACACCAACGTATACCATAACAACAATAACAACACCAACCGGCCTCTCGATGGGTGCCGGTCGCCCCGGTGGTCTAGTGGTATCCTCGTAGTCCGCTAGTTGCACAAGTCTTGAGTTCGAATCCCCATGGGGTGAAAAAATTACGAAATTTGCGGGTGAAAGCGAAAGATAGATAAAAGCTCTCGTGAGTACCAAACTTCGACGTGAGCACCGTTGACGAGGGAAAGGGAAGGCTGGACCCTTCTCGCGATAAAAATAAAATTCAGCACGCACCGCAGGAGGAAGAAGGTGGGGCATGAAAAGAAATAAAAAGAAGAAAACAGCACTGGTGTTTACCCTCTCCTGTGTGACCCTGGATGGTTGTAGATGTACGAAATAATACACTGACAAAGTGTAGTACTCTACACACGCTGAAAAGTGTAGTACACGTCTCACCACGAAAAATGGGGGGACTGTCGCCATAATAAATAGGACGAAAACACAACACACACACACACTGGTGGGAAGACGAAAAGCGGTCACACCCTACAAGTTTATCCCTTCCACACCACACCACACCACACCACACCACATTACCATACATACCACGCCGTACCGCACCATACCACGCCACACCACACCACACCACACCACACCACACCACACCACACCATACCACACCATACCACACCATACCATACCATACCACGCCGTACCGCACCACACCACACCACACCATACCATACCATACCATACCACACCACACCACACCTCACCATACCACGCCACACCACACCACACCACACCACACCACATTACCATACATACCACGCCGTACCGCACCATACCACGCCACACCACACCACACCACACCACACCACATTACCATACATACCACGCCGTACCGCACCATACCACGCCACACCACACCACACCACACCACACCACATTACCATACATACCACGCCGTACCGCACCATACCACGCCACACCACACCACACCACACCACACCACATTACCATACATACCACGCCGTACCGCACCATACCACGCCACACCACACCACACCACACCACACCACATTACCATACATACCACGCCGTACCGCACCATACCACGCCACACCACACCACACCACACCACACCACATTACCATACATACCACGCCGTACCGCACCATACCACGCCACACCACACCACACCACACCACACCACACCACATTACCATACATACCACGCCGTACCGCACCATACCACGCCACACCACACCACACCACACCATACCACACCATACCATACCATACCATACCATACCACGCCGTACCGCACCACACCACACCACACCACCACACCACACCACACCACACCACACCTGTTCCAGCCTGTCCTCTGGAACGGCGTGCATCCGACACGTGGCATCCGTCAACAGCAGCGTCCTCGCAGCCCCGACCCTCCTCCTCAATGCCGACCGGAGGGCCGCCCACTCCCCCCTAACCCCCTCCAGCATGGCCGCCTGCTCGCGCAGGAACTCCTGTCGCCCCGAGGTGGCCACCGCTTCCCTCTCCTTGTCGGACAGGGCCACCTGCCGTGGACGATGGATGAGACAGCCAGCGAGCGAAGAGAACGGGGTGTACGAGGTAAGAACTAGCTTGTTGAGCTGCTTCTCGCACGAGCAGCGAAGCATGAGGGCAGTTTGTGTCGTTGGGCGTCACGACAAGACACATCGGTTTGGGATCTCTTTTGTTGAGATGCCTAAGTGTTGCTGCGCTGTTGAGTAGACTATAGTATAGTGCTGATTCTTCTTCGCCAATTGTATTTTGGGTGAATGGTGGCATCAAACCATTAGTCTAGACAGTGGCGGCTACGGTTTAACGTAAGATGTCTAACAGAAAGTCCGGGTTCAACAGAGGTGACCTGGCTTGGCACGGCCAAATTTGGTTGAACAGAAAATTTGTCATATTTCTGAGATTTTCTGTTAAATCGAGCTTCCGGAGGCCACGCCACGTAGGAGTGGTTCGTCCAGTGGGTGATTGGGTGGATTTTCTCTTGAATGCTGGAGCATCTGTGGGCTCGTGTTGTAGTTCCACAAGAGCTGCGAGCAGCAGCACATCAATAACAAGGCAACAAAACTACGGAGGTCTGACGCGTGATTTGTTTCCTTTCCCAACACGTTCTAAGCGCGTGATTTGTTCCCAACACTTTCTACGAAGAGCGTAAAACTGGTCCACATTGCTCGCCAACCAACAGATAAAGCGGTGTGTGGAGCTAGCCCAAAGGGCGGACGCTACCTGTGTTATGTGACATGAATGATACGCTCTCCATCAGCTCTTACGGCACAGACTGCTGACGTTGGTACGACTGGGTCCATGTTTCACGGCCTTTCGTTCTGGCTAGCCAAAACGGTTTAACAGAAGTGCCGATTTAACAGAGGGATTTTGGCTTGTCACGACCCTATGTTAAACCGTAGCCGCTACTGGACCATATTAGTCAGCGCGTTTCTCATGTTGACCGCTAACAGGGCACAGTGTGCTACCGATGGTGTTGTCATTGTGGGTCGTTCGATGGGGTGAACAACGCACATCTACAGAATGAACAACTAATGGCCGACTTCATGAGACTTACTACCGCGTCTAATCGTCTTGCGAAAGGAACACTCCACGGCTATTCCCAGGTGCCTCCCCAAGTTGACGAGATTGTACGTCGCTTTTGAAGGATGGATGTCAAAAAAAAAAAAAAACGCGTTAACCACCTTTAGCTTTTCCCGCTCCTCCCTTAGCAACTGGAGACGCCTCCTCCCCTGAGACACGGCAGCCTTGTTAGCCACCGCGGCTTCCCTCTCCGACACGAGAGCGGTCTTGAGCGCCTGCAAGAGGCGGAGGCGGCGGTGGTAGCGACGGCGGCGGAGCGAGGGGGAACAACAAAATATCAATGGGGAATCTTTTTCTTTTGGCGATCGCAACAAAATTAGCGCTTACGCGCAGCGTTTCTGCCAAGTACGAACTCCAATCTGTGGTCACACAGAAAGAAGGGTTAAGGTTCCTCCTGCTACCCGCCCCTCCTGCATGCTCGCCTTCGAGTGGGGAAACTAACGAACCAAGAAATGGTAAAAAAAAATGCATTGGGCAAATGTAGATGGATGATTCCTAGACGGGCGTTAGTCTGACAGAGATCTCAGGTAGGGAGTTCCGTACCGGACCTCAGGAGGGGGGGGGGGGGGNGGGGGGGGGGGGGGGGGGGGGGGGGGGGGGGGGGGGGGACCGCCGGTGGAGGGGAACGCTGCTTCTAGAGCAGTGAGGAAAGGTCAAAAAGGGTGCTATGCTTCCGCCATGGGAACCGAAGATCCGAGACGGAGAGCCAAACCTGCAAGACTGGCACAGCAGTCTGACCATCAAAATACAAGGGAACGTTTAGAGGCCATATCATAGTCTTGAACCGTCAGCAGTGCAGCACACGACAATTTCTCCGGGGGAAAGCCCGCTACACCGTGCAATTCTAGTTCACCGCCCAATCATGTCGACGATAGCACCCAGAGTGAGGGAGGTGGTCGTGGTTTACCTCAGCCGACTTGGACGACAAGGCCTTGCTCGCGATGAGCTCAAGCTGGGCGAGATCCGCCACCTGCTCCTTCTCATCAGCCTGTCCAAAGTACCAGCAGAGCAACCACGCAAGGGAGCCAAGAAAATTGACGCCCGTCAGTTCCCGCTTCAAACAGACATATTCATGCACTGAACAACCGAGCATGGGGGCATGAGAGAAGAGAGCCCATGTCAGGCCCGCTTCAAACAGACTGAGAATGCATCGAAGAATCAAGCGTTGCGGCATGAGCGAACAGAGCCTATCAGTCCCTCTTCAAACAGACATTTGCACAACAGGCTTCGAACGTCCACATGCTTCGGAGAGAAATACCTTTCCCGCATGATACCACGTGGACATGGATAGATAGATGGCCTTGGAAGGACAACAGCCACCGCGGGCACGCGGTCTAGATACCCTACCAGCAGCCGAGAACACTCAGAAACCCGTCAGCAGCGAAGCAAAAAAAAACAACTGTACAGTCCACCCCGCTTTAAGGACGCTCGCGCTAAGGAAACTCCCCGCTCAAAGGAAACTTGTTTGGCTGAGCACCGGGGGTCCGGCAGAATATACGTTAATGGGGTACCCATTTTTCTTCCGCGTACCCCCCCTTCTTTTTGTGTTATGCGGGCCTGCGGGCCGCTCTGCACGAACCACGCACCACAGTGAGTGCAGAAGTAGCGACGCACAGACAGCAGACGTAGCGAGCGGTCTGCTGCTGCAGCTGCAACTGGGTGTGGGTATGGATAGATTCCTCCCATCTACCGGCGGTCCACCTGATGCCGCCAAAAAGAGTAGTGCATGTAACCTCGTCCCTCACCGAGGGCGAGGTTATCTCTCGCTTGGAGGACGTTCGATCCTACAGATAGCCCCCGCAGTTAAGAAACGTCAAAATCGGTTCGAGCCTCACCCATCCCTTCTCTTGGGTCGAAGTACCGGCCCAAGTCGTCCATTTCGTAAATGGCGTTTCTTCTTCCTTTGGACTGTCGCATCCTCCCGATCCTCTTATTCCTTAGACTACAACAAGTACTTCGTATTTTCTTTTTTTGGTCTTATGATCTCCGAAGACAATCCACATCATCAAGCCCTCAAGGAAGGTGGTGGAGAGTGCCATCAAACCGTACAACATCGGAGAGCATATGGTTGTCCGCGATGTGTGGCAGTACTACAGTGCAGCACTCACTGTGAACAGCAGGGGCGCGGGGACTCTGCCCCCTACATAAAAAATGCACTTCTGTTCAGCTTGGGAGTGGGTTGGGAGCACCGCAGATTTCTGGTGTCATTGGGGGTATCGCACCATCACGTTTCTTATTGGGGCGTTTCTTACGTTGTGGCCGAGGTTGAGCGATGTTTATTAGCCCTTTTTTCTTATTTTTCGTGCAAAATTGAGCCTTTTTTCTTAACAGAATTTTTCTTAACTGCGGGCGCTATCTGTACTTGTACGCGAAGGGAAGGGTGGCGAGTAAAGCGAGACGCAGTACCTTCTTTCGAAGATCGTTCATTCGTTTACTCATCAAACTCAACAGAAGCCGCGGGGGGAGCTTCGCGATATGTGGAGGGAAAAGCCATCAGGGTAGATTTAGTGTTCCTCGGTGCGACGCTGAAATACGCTCGTTTTTTTTTGTTTCACAAGAATGAGATAAATATATGTCTACTTGGACTTTCCTCCTTCTTCCGCTGCCGGCTATGCAGTACATTAGTTGGCCGAGCATAAACTGATGTACTGTAGTTATTTTCAACACGTCCCTGACTGCTGTACATCTCATTTATTTCAAGTATTGCAAATATGTTCGACGTCAACAAACGGTTGCCAGTCGTCTCGGCGATGCTGACTTTTCGTACCAACCCCTTCCTTAGCAAAAAAAGACGCGTAGTTCGAACTATAGCATCCAATGAATTTTAAGGACGCAATCCCGCTTTAAAGACGCTTGTTTTCAGGAAAAACCATGTGCATCCTTCAAGCGGGGTCGACTGTATCCCGGACTCTGTTTTGGAAAAGATGAATAATTCGTGCAAAAAAAAAGCAAACGATGAGAGGAAGCACAACGGTATTTACTGCGGGGTCTCTTCTTGCCTCGGCCTTGGCAAGGTCGGCAACAGCCTCGGCCTCCTCCTTATCCAACTCCCTTAGCCGCTCTCTCTCCCCATGGCATGCGTCCCTCTCCAGTGCGAGGGTGTAGCGTCGCAGCGACCTCTCGTCCTGTGCGCGCGGTGTCGGTGGCGGCACCGGTATCCGCATGAGCATGAGCGGCAAGAGACACTAGAACTAGGGTTCTAGTTACCGAGAGGCTAAAAGCGTGACTGGTTGGAGGTGAGCACAGGGAACTAACTGATTGGAGGTGAGCACAGGGGACTGATTGGAGGTGAGCACAGGGAACTAACTGATTGGAGGTGAGCACAGGGAACTGATTGGAGGTGGGCACAGGGAACTGATTGGAGGTGAGGGTTCTGGCTGGTTGGAGGCGAGCATGAGCGACCTAAAGAAGAGGATCGTTCGCCACACCTTCACACAACCCGATGGCCAGTACCGCGACGTGTTTTCCCCACATCATCAAGTTCAGGGTTCCGAAGCATACATAAGTCCTCGCCAAGCCCGCTCAACGAAATCCCCCACACACTACAAAGACCCGCCTTGTGTAGCATCCGACAATCTTCAAAACCTGAACCCAAAAAAAACACAAAAAAGGCGCTCGCACCAACGCCTTAAACGCCCATTACCACAAACCGCACACATCCCAATCTCACTCCCACCTCACCTCATCCAAAAGCTCCTCCACCCCTCTGTCAAGGCCGCCCAGCGCCTCCACCGCGGCCGTCGCCTGCTCCTGGGCACCGCCCCACCCGACACCCTCCTCCCCCGCCGGCTGCTGCTGACCACCGCCCCCGACCCCAGCAACGCCGCCGGACTGCTGCGGAAAACTTCTCCCTGTGGGCGGGCTGGTAGTGGTAGCGCTACTAGCGCTACCGCTAACGCCAGGGGCAGTCCTGTCCCCGCCGTACCCCGCTCTTCTCGCTTCTCGAACGAATCCGGCTACGCCCACGATTCTGGCAAGGGTCTGGGCGAGGTATCCCCGGCGCAGGTCTCGAGAAACGGCCGGCGTCAGCGATACGCCCACCGCCGCCGCCGGTGCGCCGTCGCTGTTGGCGAGCCCGACCCCGCCACCGCTCTCCTCCTGCCGGTCGTCCGCACCGCCTTCAGTCTTCGGGTGATGTTGGGCGGGGTGCGCGTTGCTCCCGGCGGCGGCGGCGGCGGCGGCGGCGGAAGGAGAAGAAGAACGCCTCCTGGATCCCGATCCGGATGGTGCCAGCGGCGGAGAGGCGGGGACCCCGCCGCCGCCGCCGCCGACTACAATTACTGCATCCAGCAGCGAAACGCCTCCGGCATGCGCCCCTTGCGGACGCCGCGTTGCCGACCGAGGCAGCAGAGACCAACGCTGGGCGGGCGCGGTCGCCGAGTGGTAAGGAGGCGGCGGAGGGAGAGGGCGTCGCGGCGGGAGGCGTCGCCGCCGCCGCCGCCGCCGCCGCCGCCNCCCCTCCTCGACGTCCATCCCGCCCCCCTCTTCCCCCTCTTGCCGGACACCGCCGCCGGCCGCCGCCGTCGTTCGAGCGGGAGATTCTTTGCCCGAACCTCCGGTTGTCTCCGTCGACGGTGGGGCGGCCGCAGGCGGGCCTGGCGTACCCTCCTCCCCCGCGGCCGCTGCGGCTGCCTCCTCCACGTCCATGGCGTCGTCGACGGTCCCCCCTCCTCCGGTGACAAGAGGACTGAGTTTCGGGGGGGCGCCGCGGCTGGTACTGGTACTGGTACTGGTGGTGGTGTTGTCTCCCCCCCGGAAACGGGAGGCGGACCTCCCTCGCGGGAAGTTGACCTCGGGCGTTTTCAGCCACATCTGCAGTAGCCGTTACAGAGGAATGTGCAGGCGTTGATTGGGGCGGGAGCACACAAACTGGGGCGGTGGAATTGCAAACGGGGTACTGCTGTGGTATACAGAGGTCG